ATCCCTTCTTAATGCAGTGTAATTGCTGGCGAGCGTGACCGTGCAGCCTTTGTAAACAGTACTTGAAAGGTTACACGGTCACGTTCGCCAGCAGCTACACGCGTGATTTGAGTGCACGAAGAGTCGCCGAGAGGGGAAGAGATGATTTGCCAGCCTTTGTTGGCGAATCCATTCTCAACGCAGATAGATGTGTGCAGAATGCTTGGAGGAAGAAGTACGGTTGGCAACATGTTCGAACAAGCTGCACACCTCGAAATCAGTGGGCTCCGAGCCGCCGAAGCACCGTTCGATAGGGCAACTCTCAACGCTACCCGTGGTAAAGTTTTAACGGGGGAGAGTAAAAAATGGAATTTATGTTTGAAGGAAGTAAAGGTGTTCAAGGGCACCAACGCTTCTTGAAGTATGGCTGTGAGATCTACTACAGGCCGTACAGTCTGGTATTTTGATTGGTACGCTTTGGAGAGTCGTGATGATACCTTGTACCTTTTTCAGATGAAGTAAACAAGCGCAGAGCTTATCGAGCAAGGATCCGAAGTACAGAGTTTCTGGGACGCAGCTGTTGCATCCGAGGATGTGTTGTCAAGAAATGTTTTGTAGTTTTCGTGGTCGCAGAGGGCGCCACATTTGTTAAGTCAAAGGTGTTGAGGAAGTGTTGGCTGCGGGGAGCAAGTACTGATTTTGTGTCCGCGTGTGTCTTCAAAACATTTCAAGATACATAGCGTTGTGTTTCGGCGGTACTTGTAGCCGGGTTATTGCTTTTGGCGGCAGCGACTTGGGACGGTGGAGCTCACAACAATAACACGGTGGTGATCAAAAGCGTTTCAAATCCGTTTTTCGGCGATGATGTTTGCGGCACTACTAGTCTCCCTCGCCTTGACCAAGATGTCGAATTCAGTGAAGGACGGACCCTGTATCGCTGGCCGAGAGTCGTTCGGATCACGACAGGTACAGTCTGAAGCCTTGTGCATCGGAAAAATTTATTTCGAGATGGCGGCCTTCGAGAAAAATGGTGCGTTGAGATCGAAGCTGTTGTGTGGGCGACGAGTTCGCTCTGTACGAGGTTCCCGACGGCGTGAAACTAAATCCTGCAATTTCATGATGCTTTGCGTAGACAAATCACTTTTTTCATTCTCTCAGGTGGAGACCCGCCCCCTTTTGCCAAGGTGGAGATGAGTTTGTGAGGGGGCGGGGATTTGTAGAATATGTAGGCGTGACTGAGCGCGCACCTGCACGGTCGTAACCAGACCTGGCCTACGGCGAGGTTGGGTGGGTCGTCTCGAAAACCTCTCTTCGCCGAGATGAGCCTCGGCCACCGCCGTGTTGGGGCGCGAAGCTTGGCAACTGACGAAAGGCAATAAAGGGCTATCAAGCCGGCGGCACCCAAACTAGAAGAATAAAAACCCATTCGTGGAGTAAGTCAGTCCGCCCTACCAAAACGGAAGGCGTTTTATCCGAAAACAGTTCTAAACCGGGGCTGCGATGTAGAAAGGAGTTCGAGAGCAGATTCAATCGGTCCATCATCGTAGTTGCTTGGCCGAACTCCGTGCACATGCTCGAATTGGGGACAGCTTAACCCTCCTAGTATCCAGCCCCACCGCAAAAAAATGCCGAAAAAATGTTTGTCAGCCATTGGTCGAGGGGCGACAGTCCCTACATAGAATCTGAGCTCCTTGCGAGGCAAAGGGTGACTTGGCTTCAGTATCAACAGTGTGCCCAAAACGTTTTGGGGACACTGTTGATACTGAAGCCAAGTCAGCAAATTTTCCAGCACCAGGCGATGATGTACAGTTTTGCGAACTGGGGTGCACGCGGGTTCGGAGATGTGGACAGCAAGTCAGAGGCCCAGGCATCACACAGCATATCACACAGCTTACCACCTCAGCCAAGCACGTTAGGTCAAGGGTTCTCACGTACGTTGCATCCAGCGGAGCATCCAGCGGAGCCTAGGTTGACTACAGTGCGGTAAATAGGCCTTTGAGTGCTGTGTCCCAAAGTGTCCCCAAATCGTCCCCAAAAAGGCTCCCAGTACTGCGAGGGTCAAACACCAGCCCATCGATGAAGTTGTGTGGCCTGCATCGTTTCAGCAGCTGCTGTTGCTCGGAGATTTCAACCAGTCCATCACCGGACGGAGTAGTGTGGCCTGCCTCGCTGCAACAGCTGTCGTTCGGGGACGAGTTCAACCAGTCCATCACCGCATGCACACGATCCCTTTAAACTTTATTCAGCTTTTTTTGCCAAACGAAAAGCGCACCCTATACGGGCCACTCTTTCTTCTCACAAAAAAAACTAATAACAGAAAGCATGACGACGGGGTTCTAAGTTCAGTCGGCGGTGAGATAGATATATATATATAGTAATATGGCTAGAATGGGGTGATTGATATAGAAGGCTGGACATTGCTGTACTACCTAAAATGTGAACGACACCTGACAGGTCGTAAGTATAACCAACGAACCATTTGTGCACATTCAAAGTTTAGAGGATACGATCCATCGGGGTAACTTGCCATCGGGAGAGTGACAAATAACACATCGGATCGTTGAGATTGGTTGAGATCTATCTGTCTTCTCTCACTCACATCGTCTTCTTTCTTTGACCACCTGCTGAGAGTGGAGGCGGAGAGTCTTCGACCGACTCTCCTTCCACTATACCCTCTGCTGGTCACTCTTTCTACCTCATTCCTCGTTGCATCTCACGAAAGGAAATAACAGCCACTAGGGGAACACCGTAACGGCACCGGCTCCTCTCTGACCGTAGCCTCTGTCCAAATTGGCATCTCTTCGTCGACGCCATTGTGAAAAGAGGGAATCGTCCTCGACAGACGTTGTGGAGATTGTACCTTTTTGAAGAAGGTGGTCTCCACAAAAATGCTGATTCAATACCGGTCGCCCCGGTGGTCTGGCTGGTATATTATCCTCGAAACCTGCTTCTAGAGGTCAGGTCAGGGGTTCGAATCCCGGCGTAAAGCAAGCTTTTCTTGCATGGTGAGTTTTTCTCTCTGGCGTCCGCTCGCTCCTGGCCTACCTAGTGGATAGCGCTAGTTCGTGTGTTAACAGAGGGAAGAGAGTGCTGAACTCTTCTCGCATTAAAAATCGAAGGAAAAGTACTGTAGGAGGGGAGGGTAGAGAGGGCTCTTGTGTATGGCCACGGGTAGGAGTAAACGGCACTACTGTACTAGTGCTGTGAACGCTGATTGATTTGAAGTGAGGACAAAAATAAAAAAAAAAGTACGTACGCAGCAATTATCACCCTGAGGAATAATAGCCATACACTTTCACAGCTCCAAAGAAAGAGATCTACCAGGCTACGACACAAATTGGCGAAGCGTGTATGCGATGCCCTTGGCTCATAAAAATCGATAGCAAAAATCCCGAGGTCAATCCGGGCACGTAGTGACGAGATACCGAGATTCAAAGAACTGTTCCGCATCACGCTCCGAACGGAAACAAGATGTATGTGTAGAACCCGACCACCGTTCGCGCAGCCACTAAACCGATACCGTAGTCCGCACACTCGCAACTCGCAACCCTGCTGCTTTGCCAGCACGTTCTGGATGCAACCAGAGACCGCGCCGTTGCAGTCACTTATCGTGCCATTGTTGTAGTACCCCACCATGGGCTCCTCTCTGCTCTCCGAGCCACGACGCAAACGAAAGCGCACCGCCAGGGCGACTGCCTCCTTCAGGCTAAACTATGGCACCGCGGGGAAGAACGAAGGGACGCGCTGTGCTAGGTGCCTGCCCTGGATTGCCGGGATGTTCGGCCTCACCATGGCTGTCGTTGTTTGCGTGAGAAACGGGTTCAAAGACTTGGCCAGAGAGAAAGCAAGGGACGCGCGGCTCGGGCGGGCAGAGGACCACGCAAAGTCTCATCCTCTGGCACTGCTCCTCGAGGGGCAGCACGATATCGGGTCCCAGGTACAGCAGTAACCAATTCTATTAATAATAGAAGGAGGTGCGCGTCGGCGGTGCAACTTAGTTAATGGGCACATTGCTGAATTGACTTGCTATTTGGCCAGGTCTCTCACATAACGGCCCACAACAATGCATAATTCCGTGTTGTCGTCTATTTTTCAGGTCTTTGTACCAAGCAAGCCTAGGCCGCGGCAAGCCGAGCCGCGGCAAGCCGCGGCGCTACTTTACAAGTAGATTGCTGTGCACCGTTAGCGCGAGGTTGCAGCAAGGTGAAAAGCTACACGTTGCTGTACCGTTCTAGGTTGCTGTTGTACCGTTTAGGCTAAGCCGCGGCGCAACAGGGGTGAGGGCTAGGTTGTAGGGCGAGGTTGCTGTGCACGGTTAGCGCTAGGTTGCTGTGCGGTGAAAGGCTAGGGTCGCACTGCTGGAGGTGTGCACACAAAACAAGAGCAACAACGAGAATATTCCGAGAACCTTATTCATCGAAAAATGGGCAAGCACTACTGCTGCTGGAGTTTTTGACGTCAGCGCCGCATACATGTGTCTCAGTGTCGCATTACCCTTCAAGAGCATTCGCGTTTCGTCCTGGGATTGATCAACCTACGTTCGCAACCTACCCTACGGAGAGAAAGGCGCAGCCAATCCATCGTTCCCACACTTCGTTGTTCGCCGCTTCAGTAAATAGGCCACCCGGGCGACCCAGCTACGGTGTGTGCTTTGAGCTCGACAAATTCGCGTTCTACACCATGCAAATGGGTAACGAAACTACTCTTTTTGGGGGGGGGGGCAGTTGGCTTGTGACCGCGTCAGTTGAACCAGTACGGACAGTAAAAGGTGCTGAGCGGAAACAGGAACGGTTTTTCATATGAAGGCAACACCAACAACAATGTCTTGCGTTCGTTATCTGGTATCCACCGCCGTTTTTAACCTCATATCCCGTTGTGCCCTTCGCGTTTCCGCGGCTCCTCTGTTCACCGCTGCTTTCTTTCTCCCGACGCATCGATACCTTTCGACGGCGACCTGGATGGGGGACGTGAAACGCAATGGGGGCCTCTCTCTCTCTCTTTCGGCCAAACCAACCGACACCGACGGAAACCACCTCCAGGCCGCTCGTTTCGCGGATCCGGATGGACATTGCCTGTACCCCTCGCCCGGCGCTGATCAACCGACCGCCGAGAGACTGGGCGTGTTCACCTGCTTGGCGGACACGCCGTTCTTCCTGCGAGCCCTGGCGGAGTCGTTACGGTTCCGTTTCTTGGTGGTCGTAGATGTCGGCAGCGTGTCTCTTCGTCATGGTCTTCCTGCTTCACCACCTGGGTTGGGCGCGGCGCTCACCGGACTAGAATCGGAGATGTTTCCTGAGGCACCGCAGCTACAGGCACGGCACCGTTTAGGGATAATCTAAGCCGATCGTATGCAATGTTTGCAGTGCGATTCAGGGGTGCGCATTGGTAAATATCTGCTGTACGTCGAATACAAGACGGTTGCCCATGTGAATATGCAAGGGCGTCTTCGAGATGTACAAGAACAACAGCAGTGAAGCTGAATAAGGAAGGCTGCAACACTCATTTTTTATTCGGGTGTGGGCCCGTTCCGTGCATACAGACTCCTTCTGTGCATACCCGTGCTGCTAATAGGTTCATGGGATGGTGGTACAGGTAAAGTGAGTAACCCAATGACGAAGGGGTTGACGTTCCCAAAGAAGCGTAGAAGCGTAGAGAAAGCGCTTTGGACGATCTTCTCGTTCTTGGCAGTTAAACTTGCTTCTACTGCTGCTGTTGTCCCTGCATCATGCTGCAACAGGCGCAAGTAACGGCCGGCGAGGACCCGCTCCCGGATAACGCCGATCTGATCCTCATTGATGTACACAAGGAAGTGCTGTCTGCAGATGACTGGGTGGACCTGTTTCGCTCCTTGATGCGGGTGCGAACGTGTGCCTTGATTCTGATAGAGTCGAGTCGAGAACGTTTATGATTTCGTGCGATCGAGAAAAGTCACGAATGGTATCGCTGTGTAAGGAGAGTGAAACAGTGGTGGCTCGCAAGACGCTCGATGTTCGAATGAGATAGTCACATGCTTGGTTGAGGACGCGAACATCTATTGTTGTCCAAGGGCCTCCGTCACGACAAACGAGACCAAATCAGTCAAGGGGTGGTGAACGTCTCCGTACTGCTGTGACCGTTTCCTATCCCGCATCCCCGAATGACATTTTGGTCCCATAGAAGCCGACGTTGTCCATATTGCCGCCCATGCGACCTAAGCTGCCAGTGAAAACCGTTTTATGTTCACTCATTGCCGACATCGCATCCGTCTGGACCCTGCCAGGCGTTATCAGATGACGGGGTGATTGTAATCCGCGGCCCGCGGGAGCAAGTAGACGCGACAACGGGTGCGGGGAGGAACGAGGGAGCGGGGTCGACAATTCGCGCTTGGTACGGAAGCGGACACTTGTGGGACGCGGTGACGGCTCTCGCGTGCGACCAAGTTGCCGCTGCTGCTGCTGTTGGTAATTTAGACGGGTGAGCATGTTTCGTGCACCTTCGACGTGACCCAGGTGGATTTGACGTTTTTCAACATGAAACGAAGCGGAGTGCTACACGTGAAGCTCGTATCCTTGCTGTTCCCTCTTCGTGCTCCGGCTGGAGGGCCAAGTTTCGTTCCACAATGAACATCTACACGTTGTTTATCTCTGCTGCTTTATCGCATCACCGTCCCGTGTTTAAAGACCTCGAGCTCTGCACGCGCGCTCAGTTTGACCCTCTCCTAGGCGTCGGTTGTCTCACATTCTTACATGTCCTCCTCTATGCGCGCCTATTAACCCAGGGGCATCATCGTGCTACGACACGCAGCACCTGGCGAAATAGATCTCGAGACTGTAAAGGCGAGATGTGGCCGTAACCACCCAGGGCAACAAGGGGGGGGCGTAGCAAAGGGGGCGGTGGCGGCAGCCCCACCCCACCCATTGCGATTCGAAAGACTTTTCCTATGGTCGACCGCACCGAGTGACATAACCACAGCTACGGCGATCGAGGCTGTTCAGGCCATGTTCGGCGGAGCGAACGAGGTGCGGAAATACGCCCGGCGAAGGTACGACCGATCGGTGTGCTTGAACACCCTGAACACCGTCGCCACCGGCGAAGCTGTGGCTTGGAGCGAAGCATCGTTAGAAACGGAAAGCATGGGCGGTGGGCACCTCCGCGCCGAACCGCGGCACATCCGCCACAAGAGTGTGCCACAAAGCGGCGCCGCACCCCAGTGGCACTCCGCTGCACGAGCGTGCCTGGAGACGCACTTGGAGGAGCACCCGCAGGATGTGCGAGCCGGGTTCGCGCTCGAGATGGTGCTTAGGGCGACCGGGGGCAGCGGGGTCGACAGGCAGGTTGACCGCCTTCGAACGAGAATGACTGAAGAGAGTGGGCCGGCGGGAGGCCTCCTTTGGCGAGCGCTGCACGCGCGCGCGGCCGGTGTGGCGGCAACGGGGCTGCTCCTTTAGTCACGCACTCTGAAAGCGCCTGGCGTAACCGTCTCTTAAATCGTCGAACTTGTGCAGGTAAATTCTGTGGCCAAATGATTGTTTCTGAGTTTGGCCGTGTCCCGAAATATGTGTATGTAATCTTTTTTGCATATCGTCTGCTGGTACAAATCGAAACATGCTGTTGCGGGAAAAATCAACTAATAATTTGGTTGACCTGTTCTCGGTCTTGTGCACTCCTAGCGCCCCCCTCCACCACCGAACGACATCAAAAAGTATTCGTTGTGAGAGTAATCACCCTACAGTAGAGTTTTGTTGAAATGTGGTGTGCAGGGTGACCATGTTTTACATGACCAACCAGGTTCACAAGTAGCTCGAGTCAAATGCTGGTGCATGTTGGAGCCACGGCGATGAAGAGGCTTTGATCGCGCTCAAGCTGTCGCTTTAACCACAGCTGGAACTTGAACTTTCCCGATATTCCACCCCTCAGGCCCTCAGGTTCAAGTGTTTTACGTGTGCAGCGCTCTTCAGTAGCTCCGTACAGCTTTAAGTGTATTACGTGTGCAGCGCTCTTCAGTAGCTTCGTACAGCTTTGAAAAGACTCACAAGACCTTCGCGTTTTGACCCTGCAGAAAATCGTTGTGGTACAAGAAAAGGCACCACATCGAAGAAAGCGCCAGCCGTTCGAAGACGCGAGGCATGATGGGCAGCCCCGTGGCTAGTGACTTCGTCGGGACATCTACCGAAGCCTCCGCTGTTACCAGCCAGAGTCTTCTGAAGACACCGCCTTCAGGGCTCGCTTGTGTGGATGCCCACGCTCTGCAGATGGACATCAGACACGGCTCACGAGGCGGGCGGTGGCTGCATCCACACCTTTCGGTGTGGCTTTGTTGTATTACGATCACAGCGCTGATCGTACAACCTCCCAGATGTACGCGATCGACTTGCCGCCGGTCTCGGAATTTCTGCCCTCGCGCTCTCCTAGCAGAGCAAACTCCCAGGGACCATCGGATACCAAGCGACGGTCGGTTGTGATGACCTATCCAAGCACAGGATGAGCCGAGAGAGGGAGAAAAAAAGACAGAATCAGGGAAAGTGATAAAAGCGAGTGCGAGAGAGAAGCGATCGACCTCTAGGGGGAGGTTGTATCAGTTTGTCAGGCGATGGTCTGCAAGAACGGGATCCGTCGGATGTACGCAGTGAGACAAGCGTAGTCTCAGCACTCAGGGAGTGTACGGTACTCTGCACTTCGATTTGTTTCCTTGGCGTCCTTCGTGCTATAACGCCTACAATGGAGTCGTTCCTGAACGAGAATTGCAAAGTCTAGAATGTTGGCTAGACGCTGACCGACTCTATTTCGTTTTGGGGGAAGGTTGTGTTGGAATCGGCCTTCCCATTGATACCTTAACTAGCCCCGTTGTACAGCGTTCTCATACCTGAGCACCAGGTTGAAGCTTGTGTCCGAGGGTGTAGGAAAATTCGGTGAGGAGGTCGCCAAAGGCAGGGAACGAGCTGCTGTAACAGAACAACACGTCGATGTCGGAAATGCCCACCTGTTGCATTGCCCATCGGCCGAGCGCGCACGCGTTGTTTCCGAGTGATCGCCGAATGGGATAGATAGTTAGCGATGTTGACAAAGAAGAATCGACGTTGTTCGCAAAACGTGATCCTCTTAACCGAGCGCAAATTATCGCGAAAGGAGGGTACACACACCCCGGTGAAACCGCCATCAATGTTACTGCGCCGCCATCAATGTTACTGCGTGCCATGGTGCCCCAGCTGGTTGATAGCACACACACACACCGAGGTAAAATTG